TTAATATCCAAGAAAATCCAAAAGTGAATACTCCATTTAGTGGTGCTTTCATGAAATACTTGCAACATAATGAAGCCTGCACAGTAAGCCTTTTATGATTTGAAACTAAAACAAAGTTAAAACATTTTGGCCAGCAGTCATGAATAGAAAGAAAGCCTATCCTGCTGCAGAATAATGCAAGACCTTATTTTACAAACCACCCAACAAAAACACAGTTAAGCATCAAAGTCTTGCCCAACCCTCCTTATTCATCAGGCCTGTGCCCCACTTCTGGCAGTTTGTCAGTTTTGATCATTATGAAATAAATCACTAATGGACCATTGGCAATGGTGTGTCTATTCTAATGATGCTTACCATGAAAAGTTATGAGGTTTTAAAGTGCAGTTAAAAAAAAAAAAAAAAAAAAAAAAAAAAAGATCATTTTTGTTCCAACCTAACAAACACATTGCTGGTTCATGGTACTAGCAAGATAGGAAAGGATCTAACTTTGTAACTGAATTAACAAGCTGGAAATGTTAATACAATCAGATTATCTACCAGAAATAAATACTGTGCAAATCCTTAGCAAACTTTCAAAATGTTTAATTAGAGTAACTTTACAGTTACAGTCTGTATATATAAATATTATAAAAATCAACTCCGATATAGATTAATTTCAGTAAATGTTATAAAAACATTTCATTACATTCATATAAAAACAACATAAAACTAGAACTTCTCAGTCTTGATAAATTCTTTTGTACATATCAAAGTCTAAAAACAGGTACAAAAATTTTTGAGGATTGATCATTAAAAAAATATAAAATTGTAAAACTGTATATCCTTCATTATGCTGATATTATTGACAGTGTTAATGAAAAAATTAAAATGTATACTCCCAAATGATAGCTACAGACTGCATAATATTTAATTTAACAGACTGACTTATCAAAGGCTTATACATTTTTGATACATTATCAAATTCAAAGTTATTGAATATTTAAAATCTTAAAGAGTAAACTCAATATGTCAAATAATAATACACAATTTTAATTGCATATGGAATTTTTGTATTTAACATAAGGAGGAAATACACGATTTCTCAAAAAAAAATTTAAAAAATTGCAATGGGGAAGAATTAGGCTATTCGAAATAATTGTAAAAAAGATTTGATAGAAAAAAAAAATTTTCTAACTGTAAAGTAAAAATCATACAAATTAAATTTTTAAAATTTTTACTGCAAATATTTTTAGAAGAATTTTATTTCATCTGTTATTTTCACAACTGTTAGATTACTTCCTTTTTGTATGGAAGATCAAATACGGAATAATTCAAGAATTCTGAATTACCTCCCTACAAGGAAGGCTAATAACTGTCTGGGTGTCTAGAATATTTTATGATCGTATTGAAAGCTGAATGAATGCAAAGTGAAGACAATCAATAAACAAATCTATCAATTCTCCCTATTTTTTTAGCAGTACTTTCTTTTGTTTAATAAATATTCTTAAAATAATTAAAGACCTAATTTAAAAGTGCAGTTAAAAATGTTTCATGACATCAAATAGTTTGAAAAAAAAAAAAAAAAAAAGGATAAAAAAATATTACTTCATTTTATTTATTTAATATTTTCATATTCCCCCCTCCCAAAATATTAATGACTAAACCTTTCTTTCAAGTTTTCCAAAATTTCAAATCATCCAATATAGCACCTGTAACCAATGCGCTTTCAATTCTTAATAAAGTCAATAAACATACAATATAACACAAACAAAACTTGATAAGTTAGCTTTAACAAAATATTTTAAGAAAAATCAACATTTACTAAATTTCTGCGTTAAATAAATATGCAAAATATTCTAATAATTGACACAGATTCCAGCTAATTATATACTCATTGAAAAATTGCAATCGTGTTCACACACTGGCCCAGATTGAAAACGTTGCAGCTGAGTAATTTTTACTTAAGATATCGATGAAACTTAGAAACAAGACAAGTCAAAATAGTTTCGACAACTTTACCTATCAAAGTCCACTAAGAATTTTTTAGTGAACTTTGTTGATGACTAAAAAAATAAGTTATAATTTTGCTTTTTATGCTCAGTACTTTCTTTTTAATCAGAAAACTCATTTAATTTTAGCTAGATAATTAAAAGCATTTTTTTTTTATTTTAGCAAATAATTATCATTTTTGTTAAAAATAAAAAATCTCCTTGATCTACAAAAAGTGCATTTAATTAATTTCAAACAGATGAGCGTTACGTCATTTGTTGCAAATTTTAAACGTGATGTACTGCCAAAAACAATTTCTCTGCTACACTGGAGTACAATTGAACAAAATATTTTCTTTCATATTAATGAAATAAATCCATTCAAATTAGTTTTAAATTTGTTAAGGAAAAATAATTTTTCATCTAAAAATGCTAAAAAACAATGACTCATAAACAAAATGAAGAGTAAAAAACTAAAAAGCAAACACGAGGATTAATCTAATCATCACAACACTAGTAAAAACAAACAGCAACAAAAAAGTAATTATTGGAGCAAATGATATTTTGGTATACACCTGGGAATGCCTGTATCATTGCTTGTTATGTGGCTTCATTTCATGGAATTGATCAGATATCCCTAAGAAGACAACTTGGGGATGACATACACAAACAAAACAACTACGATGACTAATTAAAGTAATAATAGTTTATCTCTCTAAGTTAGATACCGGGATTTTTGATAAGTTTACTAAGTTTACTACTCTAAGCAAAGTGAAGTGAAAAAAAATCTAAAATTCTCTAAATGTAATTTTTTAAAGCTAGTTTTAAATAGTTTCTATTTTAGTATCACCAATGAAAAGAATTTCCTTTCAAACTACTATTTTTCAAGCTAGTAGTAAAAAAAATTTATCAAAAAAATTTCCCAAAATTAAACCTTTTTTTTTTTTAGTTTAACGGCATGAAATTATTAAATCACCATCCCGCACATCCAATATAAAAATGGGAACTTTCGAAAGCAAACTTTTTTGTGATTTGCAATGAAGAAGCAGTTATTTTAATTATGATTATTTATTATTGCTGGCTGCTATATAGTTTTTTTTGTTTTGTTTTTTAATTCGAACCATAAGTTTTTTTTTTCCAAAGGCTCTATCAAAATGTCGACCGAGAAAGTTAAAGATAGCAAACTAGTTCTTCAACTGTCTTACCGCTGAACCTGAAAGATTTGAGATTTTTTATGACAATAAATACCTTTAAATAAAAAGTCTTAAGAAACAAACCAAAACATTTTGTAACTAAACTTATACCTACTGAACACATTGCTTTAGTTTTTAATTACATGGGGGTCTAAATGGGAACAAGTTCGAGAAACAAAATGGTAAATGATAAATTATGCGATCTGTATTGTATTGAATATCACTGTCAGGCAAAATAAAAAATAATCACAAAACTAAGATATATTAAGTTCAGTGATGAGTCATCACAGCTACACTGGTTTCAATAAACAACAAAATGTAACACTTCAGAAACTTTTATTAAACGGGACTATTCAATAAGAATTGAAATGTAAAATTAAAACTGTCTTTAAAAATCTCAGACGTTTAAAGTGGTAGTTTTACTTTTATAATTAAACTAAAATTTTTCCATAAAATGACAACTGATTGAAACGTCAAGGCACATGTACTATTCTTAATTGAAGTATGTCAAATGTACGAGTTTTCATTCAAAATATTTTTTTTGCACTTATAAGGAAATTTCCAAGACAGGCATTTCATTATGCATCGAAGATAAACATTTTATTTAAAGTTAGGATATCTGAGTTTATTTTTAATGGAAATAATTTTCCTGAAAAAAGCTGCATTTTAAACGAAAATAAGATGTTTTGGCTCCTAATTTTTTTTTTTTTTTTGAGGATGGGTGGGGTGGGGTAAGCATTCCGTTAACCTAAATAACGTAGTTATATATATTTTTTTTTTTATTTAAAACTTAAAAATGTGGATTTTATTTCGATTACGAATAAAATTACGCAAAGTTTGTAAACAAATATTTAGCGCCAATTTAAGCGGCTTTTTTGCGTTTTTTGTTTGTTTATTTTGTTTTTGTTTTTTTACAATAAATTTAGAAATTAAATAAATGCACAATATCAATAAAGAATTTTAACGTTATTATACATTGATGTATTCTTACTACTTTTGCTGAGTAAAAAAATGCCAATAGATGAAACGTTTGCGACGTAAATGGAATCCCCTTTTATGTTGCTTGCAAGGAGCTGCTTCTCCCCACACCACGGTCATTTCTCACACTGTATAACTGACCTTACAGACATTGTCATCAGTTCAGAAAAATACATTAAAAATTTACAAGTCAAAGTAAAATATTAATCATGATAAAATAATCTTGCAAATGATAAACGAAAGATCAGTATCAAAATAAAATGGATGTAATCAAGAAAATTAAAAAAAAAAAAAACTTACGCACTGAGGAAAAAAAGGTGGGGAAAGAAAAAAAATTCGGACACATTGTCAACATAGGTAGACACGCACCTAAAATAGACAGTGATATGTACGGACACTCAAAGAGAATTTGTTTATTTCTTTAACCAACCTCAGAAAATAAATAAATAACTTAATGGGCTGATTACTGACGTAGCGCATTTACGTACGAGTTGGAATTCGCCATTACCAACCATCATCATTTTTTTAACCACTAAGTCACAGAGTTTGTTTTTCTTTTCTAAAAGATCTTCTTTAAAACAGTTTCAGACATAAATAATCACGAAGAAATATAAACACAGAAAATGATTTAACTTCAATGTATCGACACGCAATAAAGAAAGAGAATGATACAAGTAACAAAACGGGCAGTTACAGACCAACTCAAAAGCTCATTTTCTTAAAAGTAAACTGAACCCCCATTTTGTAACCAAAGTGAGATTTTTTTTTTCCCTTCGACCTCAACAGGAGGGCGGGGGATAAAAAGCGCAAGACAGAATGGCATAAATTTTCCCTTCCGTATTAAAATTGTAGGGAGTCTTACCGTCGATCCCATTAAGTAAAACATTTTCCATATCGATCGGTGTGGTAAGGTCCGGTCCCAGATCAGGCAGAGTATCCGCCGACACGTTTAACCAACGCTGCGAGTCGGCCATCTTTGTTACACTGTGAGTTCTAACGCCACGAGACGTCGACCAATCAGAAACTAATGTTGCCATCGGATGATATTACGTCATCGCTACTACTCCTCCTGCTTCAGTTACCGCTGCTGTTGATGATGGTAATGATAATTACGGTAGTAAAGGGTTACTGTTAAGGTCGGTGGTGGATAATAATAATAATAATAATAATAATGATGATGATACTCTTAAATTTTGCTGATTATAGTGATGGTAATGCCGACATTATTTACTGTTGCTTTTATGATGATAATGATATTTTTAATGTTGTTGTTTAGTAGTAATACTATTTTTACTTCGAGTTACAATACATGATGGTACTTTTGATGGCCTTTTCTTTAGTTTTTATTTTACATTTTCAGCTGTCTGTGCGTGCTGATATATGGCATTTTTGAAGATTGCTAATGTTGTTCTTTAATGTTGTTAGTGTTCAATGTTTTTATCATTACTAGTAGAAGTAAAGTACCAATTAATGTCATTAAGAAATAATAATAATAACCATTTTTCTCATATTTATTAACTGTTTATGATTATGACTGTTAGTGTTGTTGTTTTGATAATAATGGTGATTTTTTAAAATAAAATTCTTATTGGTACCACTTTTCACAGTTTACTTTTACCAATGTTGATGGTAGTAGTCTCGTTCTCCCTTAAAAAGATGATGATGCTACTTTTTATTAAATATTAAAAAGGTACATTAGACTTTTAAATGTTATTTTCATCTGACAATAACTAATTTACTTCAACTTGACTGATAGTGATGATGACATGTTTAAATGTTGCCCTTAACAATGATGATGATATATTGCTGATAATACTGGTGATGATGGTGATGATGGATGGTATTTCCGACTGTAACTCGCCTTCATGCTACTAAATGTGATGATTGTGATGGTGGTTATGGTAGTTTCATATTTGTCATTGCAATTATTCTTCCTTAATATTTTTTATTATTGACAATGATGACAAGGACATTTTTATTTTATGCTACTGATTTGGTCTCAGGTGACGTTTTTGATGGCAATGATGATGCCACTAACTTTCAACTCAAAGTGATGATGATGATGATGATGATGATGATGATTGCTGCTACTGCTGCTCCTGTTTCGTTGACCTGTTCATATTTCTGTTGACTTGCGCTCTTATATTGCAGCAATTGCACAATGTACATTTTATCATTATGCTAGCGTTTGACTCAATATATTGTGCAAAAAACACGTGAACTGCGCAATATTTTAGAGACAAATACAAACTCCGCCGTGTGTATGCTTGGCCGCTGAGACGGCAACACATCCAACTTCGAGATTCGTTTCACTTTTTTTTTTCATTATCCAATTCTCCAACACTACATAATGACCAAAGAGAGCGAACGAATGTTTTTACTCGAATGTATTAAGCTTTATAGGGAATTGCCAGCTCTGTGGAAAGTGAAATCTCCTGAATACAACAACAGAGTTAAGAAGAATGATGCTTATGACACGCTTGTGACGAAATTTCAAGAGAAATACCCGGACATCACCCGGGAAGAAGTTAAAAAGAAATTTAACAGTTTACGCACGAATTTTCGGAAAGAAGTAAAGAAAGTCTTTGATTCCAAAAAGCCAGGCGCCGAAGAGGTTTACATTCCTACTCTTTGGTATTACGACGAAATGTTATTCTTAATCGATCATGAAATGTCCACACAAACAATCAGTTTCATGGAAGAAAATGATGAAAATGACTCAGAGGTAAGTTAGGAGAAAACATCTTAATTAATTTGTCAAATTTGAAATTTGATGACTCGATGGTAATTTTCAATTCCGTTCGTCTCATATCTGCAAAAAATTCATTGTAAATGATTATACTGGTGTTAGGTGCACGTTTTTCTTTTCAGATTTAAAAAAAAATAAATATTTTTACCATGGAGTGAAAAGAAAAAGTAAAACAACGAAAACAAATCCCAATAGTAACCACACGAATTTTAAAAGCAATAATTGAAGAACAAGTCACTAGTTTGCAAAACAAAAATCTATTTTTTGATGTCAATGCAAAAAAAAAAAGTCCCCCACATCACCAAAAAAAAAAAAAATAAATTAAAAAATAAGGGCTGATCAAATTAATCAACAAAGAAATTAATTAGCTTTCGCAATTATCAAATTAAAGGGGGAAATAATTCAAAAGAATTGGTAAAATTAAAAAAAACAAACTTGTTTTTTAATGTCCCTTTGAATTTTAACTTTTCTTTTAGCATCCAACCAAATGAAGGGAATTTAACAGCGCATGCTGTTGATGTTATTGCATTTTTTCCAATTGAAAGCCCTTCATAAAAAAAGAAAAATAACTGTTCGAAACATTTTTAATTACATTTTATTTTTTCAAAGTATAAAATGATATCGAAATAAATAAACTTCAGATTTTATATATCCATCCGAGAATTCAAATTCAGACGGAATCCAGAACAAGCTTAATAAAACTGGAAAATAATGAATTGAACGAATGAATCAATTGAAGTAAAACATTTTGAAACTCTCCTCTTTAAGTTGAAAAGAAACTTTTAAAAACAACTTTAATTCAATCGCTAAAAATATTTTTGTTAACAGAATCCATAGAATTTGAAAACATTTTTTAAAATTCTAGTACTTTTTTCTTTTCATAAAAATAAAATATTTCATTTATTTAAAAAATAAATTCGGATTTGATATTCATATTTTTTATGAATTCTTAAATAAAATCAACATGTAGTTTAATTACAATTCATTTTTTCTTTAGTACAGCTTGAATATTGATTGTTTCAGTTTACTTTATTGTGACGTTTTCAACTACACAGTCAAAATAAATCTAAATAAAAAATGTTTATTGTTGCTTATTATGGCTTATGTTTTTACACACAAAAAAAAAACTGTTACGGTGTTGCCATTTTTAGTGTTTAATAATCTGTGTACACGTGAAAGCTCGTGTGTACAAACAAATAATCAATCAATACAATATTTATGAATTCATCCATTATTTGTGTGTGTATGTTTGTTTGGAGTGGACTAATTTTCTCGCCTTATCTTAGCTTGTTCTTTTCTTGTTGTAATTATTAATTACAACTTTACGATCGCGATTTGTGCTATCGGAAAAAAATGTAGAAATTAGAGCTCAAACTAACTAATGCAAATAAAAATGAAAAAAAGTAAAAACTCCTAAAAAAAAAAAGTATCAGACAGGAAGAATGATTCATTTTTTTTATTTTTTTTAACTACTTACAACTTTTCTCTTTAATTTTGATTGTACATGTGTAAACCGAAACGGTTGTAACCCACCAGCGAAGTATGTTTTCCCTGTAGTGTAGTAGTACAACAAGTTTTTAAAAAGTATAACAAAGTTACAAAATTAACATGTCCTTTTTGTCCAAATTTAAAATATTAAAAAAAATTGGACTTCAGATTTATTTTCTTTTTTTCTTTTAATTTCTGCTGACAATTGTTTTAAAAAATGCTCTGTTTTTTACTACACTCTGAGTGAACTCTATTCACGGATTTTTAATTTTCATTTTTTTTTTATTTTAAATAAGTAGTAAATAAATAAGATGACCAAATTTTCTGTTGTAAGTCGATACTTGAAAATTGAACAAAATATTTGTTGTGAAATTCAATTCAATGTACCAAGCTCTTCTTTTCTTTCTGAATCATGTCATCGCATTGTCACAGCAATGAATACAATTTAAAAAATACATACGAAGAGACAGGTAAAAATAAAGTACTTTCACTGACTTTTTAAAACTCAAAATAATTGTACGATACACATTGTTGCGGGTTGTAGCTGAGTGAAAATGTATCAGAAGGTAATTTATGTAAGGCAAAGATTATGCGTGATTATTATGCATTATCCCACAACACGTAGATCAAATAAAGAATATAAAGACAATTTGCATTGCAAGAAATTACTAAAAACACAGTGGTTAGAGATCTAACAATAAAGAGATTTTTATACATACATGCAAGGATAACAGAATGTTTGTTGATTGTGGCAATTGAGACAAGGTTATGAAGAATGTTCATGCAGAAATTTGGTCAATAAAAGTTAATGGTTTTGATTTGTTAGTGAAATTAAAATAATTTGGTTTCTGCAAGGAAAAATCTCTAATGTGTTCGTTCAAATATTAGTGTGTTACTTGTTAGAATTTAAGTTGTGAAGAGTTGTTTGCCTTGAACTGTTTGGCTAAATTTATGAATTGTACAATTACTGTTTGTGTAGTGAAAACGTTCACTTTAAAGTTTAAGTCAATTGTAATTTGATTACCACGCGAACAATGGTCGATTGAGTGCTGTGTTGAGAATTTTGAAGTGATGTTGAGTCAGTGAATTGACACGCGTGTAGTTTGGTAGCATCTCACGAAACTCGATGACTGACAATAAAAGTTACAGAAAATGTGGCACAAGGCCTAAAAAGGGGGGATGGGGAAAGGACGGTCATCATTGGTCTTAATTTTAAAACTTAGGTAGCCACAACCACTGACCCAATCATACAAAACAATATTCCTACCACCAAAACAACATTCATACTTACCTTTCTTACTACATCCACCAAAATACCTCATTGTCTCAATGAAAATCCTAAATAGTCCCCATATGTACAAATCGTTGTCTGTGAGGGGAGGGGAATAAAAACAGCAAGTTAAAAATCCCCAATGATTATATACAATATGGTTATAAACTATTTACAAGAAACTAAACAAAATCATGTTAGTAATAACCCCCCACAACCTTAACTGATATTTCTGCCATATTTAACTGAACAAAATCGATGCAGGACTATAAAAATATAGAAAACATTCATCCATTCCAAGCACTCACACAGGCACACACTCATTCTGACGCAACAACAAATACAAAGAAAACACACACGTGAAATGAAAGGCGCCCCACATCCACCAGAGAACAGACATCACTGACCACTTAACGTGGGAGGGGATGGGGAGTTAAACTAAAGGAAAAAGGGACAGAAATAAAAGTGGGGGCCAATGACCAAACACACCCTAGCTAAGTTTACCAGAAAAGAAAAACTAAAGAATCAAA